GGTTCCCTTTTTTTTTTTTTTTGATAAGGTGATTTATTAACAATTGAGGAGAATCCCGTGTACAAGCCGCATACCAAAAAAAGAGAACCTATACCAAAATATTGTTCTCAACAAAAGAGGCCTAATTCTCAATACAAATAGGAACCTCATGAGTACACCAAAAACTAAAAACAAAAGACTACTTTGCAACTTCACAAAATCTTGTTCCAACCTTTCAAATGCCCTTCTATTTCTCTCTTTCCAAATAACCCATATAATTGCCAAGGGGGCAATACGCCATGCCCTTGGCCTTCTCTTCCCCATCCTACGTGCCTNCTGACATCGGTTGCTTAGCCTTACGTTGCCCTTCCAAAGATCATCAGGAAGGCGTCGCGTAACACTAACTATGCAAAGCCTCCTCACTATGCCTGGCATCACCTATTTTTTCCCAAACAAAATAAGAACCACTCTCCTTAAATGACTTGCCACTTGATAATGCAATAGAAGATGATCTACATCTTCGCCCAAGCTTTTGCACATGAAGCACCAGCTAACATAGGTGATCCTCCTTTTTCGCAAATTTTTCGCTGTCAAAATCACTCCCCTTGCCGCCAACCATGCAAAGAAACACACCTTTCTTGGTGCTCCAAATAGAGCAATGAGGGAAAATATGTTCTTCTCTCCCTAATAACCTCTTATAAAAAGACTTAACAGTGAATAATTCATCTCTACTCTCTCACCATCTCCATTCAACATAATGTTCGGTATATCCAACTCAAACAATATCTCCACCAAATTGTGGAATTCTTCCATCTCCTAAATCTCAAATCCCAATGAACTACCCCTTCATGAGACCTATAAATTTGTTGAACTGTCATCTCTTTTTGGCAAGATATTCTATATAAATTAGGAAAAGCTTCCCTCAATTCATTCTTACCGCACTACTAAAGCGCCCAAAAACTAATCCTGCTTCCATCCCCAACCCTAAAAGAAACGTGTCCCATGAAGTCTTCAAACCCTTTCATAATACTTCGCCATAAACCACACCAAATAGTGGTGTTATATTTGGTCCTCCTAACCCCCTTCCATTATATCATATTTTTCCGCTATCACCCCCGTCCAAAATGCATTCTCCTCCATCCCAAATCTCCAATTCTATTTCCCTAGAAAAGCTTTATTGAAAACCTTGAGATCTTTCACTTCGAGTCCTCCCCATTCCTTTGGAGAAGTGACAACTTTCCAATTCACTAAATGGTACTTTCTTGCTTCTTCCGATTTGTCCCATAAAAAGTTGTGCTGAATCCTTTCCAACCTTTCAGTCATTTTACCAGGAGCCTGCAAAAGTGACATGAAATACGTAGGTGTGCTAGAAAGGGTGCTTTTGATCAAAACTTCCTTCCCTCTTCTCGGCAAGTACCTCTTTCGCCATCCTGCTAGTCACTTCTCTACCCTCTCAATAACCGGATTCCACACTGCAAGATCTTTACTCAAAGCACCCAACGGTACCCCCTAGTAGGTGGTAGGTAAAGTACCCACCTTATAATTCAACACATGCGCAATCTCTTCAATATTATCCACTTCTCCTACCGATGTGATCTCGCATTTTTTGAGATTGATCTTAAGACCTGACACAACCTGGAACCATACAAGGATCTGTCCCCAAGTGAGCTAGCTGGGACACCTCTGCATCGGAAAAAACAAAAGTATCATCTGCAAAAATAAGATGTGTAACTGTCACATTACTATGCCCCCTAAGCGAAGCATCAAAGCCCTTCAATAGACCTGCAATGACCGCCCTATGCATCATCTTGCTTAATGCTTCCATCACCAAAATGAATAACATAGGGGATAAAGGATCCCCTTGTCTCAAGCCCCTCGAACTCCCAAAGGAACCACATGGACTCCCATTCACCAAAACAGATTATGTAGCAGTAGAAATGGAAAACTTAATCCATCTCCTTCATTTGTCCCCAAACCCCATCTTCGACATAATAAAATCCGAGGAGTCCCAGTTCATACAATCATAAGCTTTCTCAAGGTCCAACTTACAAAGAATTCCCGGCTGTCCTTTCTTCTTTCTAGAATCAACCACTTCATTTGCCACCAGTGATGCATCTAGGATCTGTCTACCTTCCACGAATGAGAAGTGGACACTGTCTCATCCAATACCTTTTTTAGTCTGTTTGAAAGCACCTTAGAAATGATCTTATAGATGCTTCCTACCAGACTAATAGGTCTATAATCCTTGATATTTCTTCCAAGTTTCTTCTTTGGCACAATGGTGATGAATGAAGCGTTAAGGCTTCTCTTGAACTCTCCAGAATCTTGGAAATCCGCAATGGTCTCCATCATTCACCCTTAACTATCCTCCAACATTGTTGGGAAAAAGCTAACGTGAATCCATAAGGTCCCAGAGCATTATATCTTGCACTAACTCACCACTGCTTCCCTCACCTCCTCCTCTTCTATTGCCCTTTCCAACCACTCACTCATCCCCTCCCCTATTTGACTAAACACTTCCCTCACCTCCTCCTCTTATTGTATAGGTTCTGATGTCTGGTTCATTGGTTCTAAAGTAATTGGCAGGACAAACAAATTGTATCTGCCAGTGAAGGTATAATCATTTGATGTTGCCGTGTGCTGGATTTTATTCCCATTCACCACTGAAGGATCCATCTATAGTGTTATTTGGATGATAACGAAATGTTCTTGTTCCTTGAACTGTCCTTAGGAATTCCTTAGCATTTGAGAAAGAAAGAGGAAGTGAAATCAAGGAAAAGGAGGCCAAAATAGATACGTATAGGAAGAAATCACTATGACATAAGTGAGAATTTCTGTCATATATAGGAATAATGAATGCTACATAGCTTTAAGTTCTGAGCATCCAGGGAAAGAAAACTTGCTTTTCATTTGTTATATGTAAGATGGCCTTTGATTTTATGCATTTTGCTATTTGTATGTTTATTAAAGCTTGCTCTTTGAGCATCTATGGATGTCTTTGGTTCATGTGATTTTTCTTGATTTTCTCTCAAAGGTAATATGCAATCTCAATTTTTGTCAAATCTAGTAAACTGGGGAACCAAAACAAATTTGGTAACATAACAGAATCATCTTAACATCTTTCAGTTTGTGTTTGCTTTCAAGGATTTCCTTAAACTTGACTTTATAGGTTGTCGAACCAAAATAGAAAATAGTGCTGTCCGAAGTCTTCAGTTTTGAAATTAGTCCCCAAAACTAAACTGGAAAACCCATCTTCCGGTCATTTAACTCCCTAAACACATGACACACAAATATTCTTTAAAGACTTGAGGCAACTATGATCTCATTCATAACGAAGCAAGTCTCCTTTGTGACAAATGTCGTCTTTTTGACATCTTTTTGTCATGAATGTTTTAAACTGTTACATTTATTAAGTTTTCTTTGGCATGTTTCCTCATTTTTAAATTGCTATGGAGCTTCCTTTTGATGTCTTTCTGTTAGTCCTTCGTGATACTTTCTCCACCATTGAATACATAACATATCCTTGTGTTTTCAATATCTAGGCCTGTAACTAATAATATCCTTCACCATTTGAAATATACACTTGGTTTACTCATAACAGTGTACTAAGGAAGTGGATTTTCGTTTATATTAATAATACACATGGTCTCGGAATCCATCTGAATGTGTCGAAAAATAGAAAATGATAGAAGCAAAAGATCCATATGACTGTAACAACTAGTTGGGGTTAAGGTTTATTCATGATGATACCCTTAGATCTAGTGTTTGCTAGTAGTTCTTTAGTTTATTATGGAAATTTGTATGTTGGTAAGAGCCTTTGATGGGGATCCATATAGTTGAACCCCAAGACTCCAACTAGCTTGTGATTGAGGCGTACTTGTTGCTCTAAAATATGTTTTTAAGAAAAAACTTCCATGGAAGTCTTTAATATGCCAAATATTCTTCCATTCTCCCAACCTACGGTAACAAGATAATTGAAACTCCAAGAATAACAAAAGATGATACGGCCAAAGTTGAAAAGATACTTAAAGACTTCTGTTTGATAACTTAAATATCTTAAGGCCGCTTAGAGCTAACTTCTAACACTATTGTCTAGCCAAATGCTTGTATGGCCTTCTTTCTTTTCCTTCGTTTTTCTTTTTCCTTTTTTATCTGACTGTCTGGTGGTGAAACTCTTAGAAATCCTGTTGGTATTGCAACCTGATGGCAGGGTAACAAGAAATCACTTGCTGACAAGTTCGAATATATCATGCATGGGAAGCTATATAGGATCTCAGAGGAAGGTTCAGGAAAGCATGTTAAAGCGTATGTTTGAATAACTTTTCTCATATAACTAATCTCATATTCAATTCCATGAACTAAATTTATATTTTTGACATGTTCTTGCCTTATCATTTGTGCAATACTGTTGCACTTTAGCAATATCTGCTCTGCTTCTTGTTTCTGAGTGCTGATATGGAATTAGATTAGATTGACTTCTTAGCTCTCTTTTATGGTGAAGATTAGTTTCTAAATGCTATTTCTTTTGGTTTATGTAACCTAAGTTGCTCGGACTCGGGTGCGGCTATCCGATACGGGGACGGATCCGAGGATCCGAGTATCGGATTCGGCAAAATCTAAAGTCTAAACTTTAAGATTTGGGTGTGCGAATCCGGATATGGATACGGGTGCGGGGATTTGGCTAATAAAAAATAGAGCTATAAAAATATCGTAAATTTTGAGAGATATTCTGTGAAAAACTTACATGAATATTGTAGATTCAATCTTTCATTCTCCAAGATAGACATTATTCTTTCATTCTCCTACATCTGTTTTATTTTTGATTTTGAGAAATCAAAATCTCAATTTTTCTCCCAAATTTGTCGATGACTACGGTCAAAATGTCCGAAGTCAGTTGACCGAATCCGGGACGTATCCCGCTCCCGCTCCCGCTTCCGTCCCCGTCTCGTATCGGGACGGGGACGGCACCAAAATCGAAGAGTCCGCGCAACTTAGCATGTAACTTGTTTTTTAGCACTATAGTTCTTCTATTGCATTTTATCATGGAGTATAAATGTACTTTCCTGTACTTGGTTTTTCTCTGTTTTCATTTTTGTGCTAGAAGTTTTGCCCTTTTTTTTCCTTCTTATTGTTAAATATCTTTCAGGTTTAACCTTTTAAAGTTAGTGTTAGGGGGTTGTCTCTGTTCTGGTCATTGGGACCAATCGATTTACTTGTTTTTTATAAGCCGGCAAGGATTTTATTAATATAACAATGGATTTACTGGTTTTCGTTGGTGTTCAGAGACATTTTTGTTTCATTTGGAGGACTTCTGATGCAGCTGAGAGGAGATCCATCCATTGCAGCTAAATTTGAGCTTGATCAGAAGCTGTTCCTTCTCCTAAGGAAGGTTTGATGTAAAGAATTGGTAATAATCACTCAATGTTAACTTTAAAAGAAGATGGAGTATTTGTAAGCTAAGCTACTGGCACGTGATAAATCGCATGTGGGGCGCAGCTTCAAGGATACAAAAGAATGTAACTGAGATAATAATAGAGACCAATGAACGGAGCTCTATTTATGTTGTTGAGGTGTGGGAACCTAATGTGCAGTTATTATCCTTTTATCTCGTGAAATTAAAAAAGAAAAAGAAACAATGTTTTCCTACTACTAGTACTAGTACTAGTATTCTGTGGTGAACAAAATTATAACTCTTATCAACTGGTAATATAGTTGCAGTCCATGAATGAACTGTTATTATCACGAGCCTTGTGTGTTATTCCCTTTTGTGTAACTGCCTTAGGGCAGCAGCTCATTCTTTAACTAATATAAAGAAGTCTTTTAAACCAAAAAAAAAAAAAAGGTCCCTGAAGTATAGAGGAGATAGTTGTGATGCTGCTAAAATAAAATAAAATTGTGATGCTGGCCATACAGTAGCCCAATGAGAAACTTCAATTAAACAAGTGCAGGCAGCCCAAGGATCATATGACCCTAGGCATGTCGGGGCTCCGCTATTAAAAGCCCGAGCTTAGTAACCAAGTCCAATTTTAAGTCGAAGCCCAAGTGCATGACTAAGTTAACTAACACCCAAACATACCAAACTTTTTATTTTTTGAAAATAAGTAGTTAAATATTGATCATATTTTTATGTAAAAAAGAAAATTCAGTTCATGAATATGTTAAATTAAGAACATGTTAAATTAACCAGTTACTAACACCAATTAAAAGTGACTAAATTGCATGTATCTTAATACACCTTTTTTCATCTTTATATACCAAAACATGAAATGTAAAATACAATCGTTTGATCAAGTATAAAGAATTAACCTAAGTAACTGCCCTCCCAATCGTTTAAACTAAAAAATAGGTGTGGGCATCGATCGATTCGGTTGTGAATGTTATCGGTTTGGTATATTAGTTATCAGTTTATAAATATGCTAAACCGATAACCGAACCGATAAGATATCGGTTATTGGGTATCAGTTAATCGGTTATCAATCCTTATCGCGGTTATCGATTTACCCGAAAGAATAAAAATATCCAAACTTTTCATATTTTTATTATAGAAATCGTGATCATACTGTTAAGAGAAAGAAACTGAAATTTTACTCTTAAGAAAAGAGGGACTGAATTTCAACTTTAGAAAAGAAAACTTTCTTTGCATTTGAAAATCCCAATGAATGATCTCAATTTTCAAAGTTGTAAGTTAGTAGGAGTAAGGAATAAGACATTCAACAATCTAATATTACTAACTATCTCATTGCGGGTGGGAATAACTCATAGAAAAATAATAAAATCCTAATCTTATAAATACTAAAGAATCGGTCCAACAAAAGAAATAAATAAAAAAACTAAAAAGCTGAACATTAATTTTTTAAAGTTTAAAACTAAAAATCTTAACTGAAGAATTAAGATGAGAAATTCAGAAAAGTTTAAAAACTTACTATAAGGATTAAAGTTTGAAGATGAAGAGTAACTGCTGAGAGAATTGAAAGAATGAGATAATGAAGCAATAAGGTGGCTTATATACTTAGTGGGTAAAATATAATTTTGTCAGATCTTATTGGGTATCAGTTAAACCGTTAATAAAATTGGGCAAACCGAGACCCGAACTAATAACCCAATAGTCAAATAATATCTAACCATTATTGATCTATTTATCCAATAACCCGATATCGATAATTCAATAGCATTTTATCGGTTCGGGCTATCGGTTACACCCGATATATGCCCAGTCCTACTAAAAATAGCTGACAAATATATAGTATAATTCGTGTATAATATATGTAAAGTCATGCATAATTAATTTATAAGCTATGTACCCCGACTAGAAAAAGTAATAGCAAATCTGACCGACTATTTGTGTAAAGATGCCAATATAAAACGTTTAAGGGAATCTTACAGAAATACCCCAAAAAAGTCCCAACTTAACTACCTCTAGCCATTAATCAGAGACTTATCCAAACACATCTAAAAATTAAAAATACAAATAAATAAGGTTCTTTCTTTCCAAGAATCACACATAAATATCTCCTTCCATATTTCTAAGCGTGATTAACAANATATATATATATATATATATATCTCCTTCCATATTTCTAAGCGTGATTAACAACATTAGATGCAAGACGGAAAAAAAAATTTCATGGATGAGGTAGCAACTAAGGTGATAAAATTTCATATATATATATACAAGTTTCCAAAAATCTAAGCAAAAAATATTTTTTTTTCAATGGGTATGGTTGATATTCATTGAAAACATATAGATGAGTCAATATATAAAATTTAAGAAAGATTGGAGGTGATTTGGACAGATTTAGTATCAAAATTCATAGTTAAAATTGAGTACAAAAAATTCTTCTGATCACACATGTATCTTATACGTAGGTATACATGGATATACATGTGTGTGCACAGTGGGATCACATATAATTTTTTTCATGTTCATCTTCTACTTCAAATTTTCAATTCAAACCACCTCAAAACTCCACCAAATCATCCCAAAACTGAGATTCAAGCTCCTTAAGATGTACCAAATCTATTCTAATAACACCTACTCAAAAGAAAGCAAAAATTTGACATTGTTTTGGCTACAAATAGCTAATTGGTCAGTATTGGTAATATTTTAGGAATTGGCCAATTTTTATAATAAGCTACTTATAAATGGACATAGCTGGTATTTTCGTAAAAATTGCACGGGGCGCCCATTTAACCTATACCCACTTTTTAAAAAAGTTTAACTTGTACCCACTTTCTAAATAACTCCAGGCCTCTTTCTCCTCCTCCTCTCCTCCTTCGTTTTCTTCTTCTCCCTCTTCTTCTTCGACAGAGCTGCTGTAATAGAAGTCTCAATATTTTGCACGATCCATCTTAGAAAAGAATTAGGCTTCTTTTTTCATGAAAAAGAATTAGTCCCACATGCTGTGATTGTGAGACAGAGAAGCTAATCCAAAATCTGGTTAATCTAATATCTACGATTATCATTTATGGAAATTTAGCAGCGAAAAAAAAGGATTTAGATGCATCACCATGGAGATCGAAAGACAACTGCTATGGGTCTGAAGTTCAGCAGCTAGCAAGTTTCAGTCCATCGCGTCTGAAGTGTGCTCGTCGCAGTGCAAACTTTAGAGCTTGCGGTCTAAAGTTTCAACAACTTCAGACATACGGATATGACATTAGGCTTGCATATAATTGAAGTTTTAACAACTTCAGACCTGTATGTCTGAAGTTAACCTAGGCATAATACTTGTGCAGTTCAAACTTCAGACATTTCGGACAGAAGTTAACCTTGACATATTGCTTTGTGCAGATCGAACTTCAGACATTTCGGACTGAAGTTAACCTCGACATATTGCTTATGCAGTTCGAACTTCAGACATTTTGGACTGAAGTTAACCTTGACATATTGCTTTGTGTTGTTCGAACTTCAGATATTACGGACTGAACAAAAACTTCAGCCAAAACATGCTGTAGTTTTATTGAACTGAGGTTTGTCATTGCACTATGAACTAAAGTTTGCGTGATTGCCTTTGCTACTTCAGGCCCGTATGTTTGAGTTACACAAAAAGTGGGTACGTTTGCAATTTTTTTTGCAAAGCGGGTATAAATTAAAAGATGTCCCAAAAACTGAATATAGATGCAAATACCCCGATATTTTCCCGACGTTTAAATACTTTCTAAAATCTAGCCTGATAGTCGGTAAATGGGCTATGCCTATTATAATCTTTTTCCAGAACAAGTCCAATTCCCTTTCTTCTTTCGATTTCTTTCTTTTTTGCCTTTCCCCTCTGTCCAACCCCTTTGCGAATGTAGTCAATGTCCAATCAATGCCAATGCCAATGCCAATGCCAATGACATGGTTTATAATGGAGATTTTTGTGTCACTCTAACACCAACTACTAAAGAAACAAAATTCTAGAGACAATGCGCCTATATCTTTTTTTTTTTAAATATAACTAAAGAGCCTTAATAATGAGCTTAATAGGGTACCTCCTAAATTTGATTGAGACAAAACCTACAAAATGCACATGTCAACCCCTTTTTAAAAGCTTGAATAATAGAAAAATCAGCCGCCATAGTTTAATGCATTCACTTGAAATCTTTTTGTGCGACTTATGAATAAAAAATGCACCAATTCTATCTATATTATTCATAGTATAAATTTTTTTTTTAATCTTTTTGCATAGTGTAAATTTTTTAGCAATTGGATATTTAATTGAAACTCCTTCACCAAAAGCAGCTATGCCCCTGCTTTTTAGCTACCAAAAGCAAGAACCCAAATTTTCTCATTTTGCTTATTCTTTGGAATGAGAATTTGAGTTAGTGGTCTCAAGTATCAACATGCGTTTCCAGAGTCCCAGACTGGTTACATTTGAAGGATTTCTATTTTGGCCAACTGATTTTCAATTTTTACTTTTTTCCTACAAGGGGAAAATAGATTATAATATAATTATGCTGCAATGTAGCAGACATGGTATTATAGCTAAGCAGTTAATTTTTAAGAGCCTTAATAACTGTTGAAGTTTGGCAAATTTGTCCCACATCGGTGGGCTCTTGAATTTTGGGGGGATTTTCCCCCTATAAAAGAAGCCTAATGTTTAGGATTTAAACACACCTCTCATTTGCCTTCTCATTTGTTTAAGGCATTTGTATCTTCTCTCTTTAGTATTATTTCACTTGTATTTTTGGAGTGAAATAAAATATTGGTTGTGTCCGAGGAGTAGGCAAAATTAGCCGAACCTCGTAAATTCTGGTGTTCCCTTTATTGTTGCTTTATTGTCTTATTTATTATTTGGTGGCTGTCATAATTTT